CCGTACGTGTCCGGTACGTCGTACGTCGACTCGACGACGACGTAACGAACGTACGTAACTACACACACACGACGACGTACGAGAAATACATATATATATATATATATATATATATATATATATATATATATATATATATATCACCCCTGTGCGAATGAAAAACGATGTCTATCTGACCATTCAACGCCATCGGTTATAGTCACAACAACCAACATTGTCGTTGTGGATGTTGTGGACAGTGCGTACAGCCTAATCCGCATGCCAACGCATAAGAGGGCTACAAAATGACACAATATTTATCATACATCATCTTTTATCTAGAAGAGATGCCGGTACGAACTTAGACTGACAAAGGCGTTTAATCAACCACACACCACCATTTCCCTCACGTAAGAGGCTAACTTGAGAGTTATTTCACACATTTATATCCCGCACCACTAAAGTTTCCTCTCATAAAGAAAGTATTAGTGAATCGTGTTTAAGATTTTATAGTCGTATCACTCGTAAATCATTAGACAGTGTCAGTAGCAGCACCACTGTGTGACTGCATATTAAAATGGCTCCGCAAATTCCGCTCGGCTGTTCCTCCCCATCTAAGAAACGCGCGTGCGAATCAGCTGAAACAGCGACACTGCAATGGCTTCGCTATATGCCCCTCTCATTGTACCACAATGCTGTAATTAGCTGGGAGGTTCCTCCCCTATGGCAACCTGTAAACGACGGGTTTTGGCGGATGATATCGCTAGATCGTTGTCACCAATGTTTGATTATTTTTTTGCTTGAATGACACTATACTTACATTTAGAAAGCTAACTTATTACTTAAGTTATGTTACTTAGGGTACTTAACTTAGTTTATTAACTTTAAGTACTCAAATACGGTGAACTGATGTACTGCTCCTAAATTGTTCCCCTGCACACTACCCAAGTAATATATGTTTAACTTTTCCTGTATAGTATATATCCCTATGATATACACGAGTTCGTATGCCGCGATACTCTCCTGCGATGTATCACATAAATGCAACCTGCCCTAGTAAGTGCTTTCAAGTAATACAACCCTGCTATGGCCCTGTAATAACAGTTACTACGCTTACTGCAAGATTACAATCACGTTACAACACTCTAAATAACTAAAAAGCCCTACGTAGGTTAGCCAGTGCACTCACGTACGCAATCTCAGGTAACCCGATAGATGGTTCTATACTAACCTTGAATGTTGATTGAGCTTCTTGGAGTGACCTGTCAATGAATTCATCTGTGATTTTTCGAGAGGGATGTTCATTGAAGACAGAGTTCATAAGCGCTATCTTTGCCGCACTACGTCGTGCCTCCGCTTTTGTTGGACAATTCTGAAATAGAAACGTAACACACCTGTGGAATAATGACACACATACAGTGTACGCAAAGGGCACCTTCACATGTCTCATCAAGAGCAAAAACTCTAGACGATAGATAAATGGAGAGATAAATAGAGTCTTTATGCTCTTGATATCATTCATGCCGCATGTACTAGACGCATTTGGTATCACGTTCGCATGAGGAAAGAACTGCAGCACTGTACTAAAACAAAGAGTTCAAACATAAACTAAAGAAACCATAACAGCCACAGCACCACAGACACCACATTCAGTGAATACAACCTTACAAACCTGTGTACCACACGTTGCTAAGTTTGAGAGACCCGACTTCAACTTCTACGTGAACGCATTTCATGACAAAATTGAAAGCAGCCGTGTGATGTTGAGTCGACGAGGAACGTAAACTATGAGGCAAACAATCGGCTCATTTCACAGAGTATCATGGCTGATGGGACGCGAGATGCACCTGTCAGATTGAGTGTGGAAGTAAGTCACACTAATGCTCACAGAACAGGATGGCGGCTAGATCGTGATGATACGAGTTTGCGCCAAGACAAGTAAAGGTTGTCCACTCTGGTGACTTACATGCAGGCTAGCCCTCACGTATGTAGGATACAGCACATGAGCATTTGCCGTCTCGTTTCAAAAGTTGTTGATTACTACTCTTGTAAGTTTTTGAGACTGAAAAAATACACCAGCGCCTCACTTATGGGCATACCTGGAAAAGTTACTACGTCACCGAAAATAGCACTATGAAATCGAATTGCACAGAAGTTAAATATTTTAGCTAGTTTAGGAGCAACGTTATAGCGTAATAGTTTAATGATGTATTTAATTTTAGGAGTAATTACTTTTTACGCAACAACAAACTTATGCAAGCGTCTATAACACCTCCCATATACACCTCCCAAAAATTCGTAACGCAGCCAGCCTTAGCACTCGCGCGCGTGAAACATTGACCATCATACGTAAGCGCGCCGTACGTACGAGCAGCCACTAACGTAGTGACATCGCACGATCACGTCCAGGGTCGTCCACGCGGCGGGACAGTTAAAAAACAGCGTGCTAGCTTACACACGCTCCCACTACCCACACCGACGGCGGCCATTAGCGTGAGAGACCTGCGCACGGACGGACGCACGGCTCTCGCGCATGATGGCACGATGGCGAGGAAACGAGCATTTCAGCACGCTCCGCACGGATCCGGCGCGCACAATGCTCGCGCTGAGGAAATGTCGACGGCGATGGCGCTCTCACGCGGCAGACATGCCTCCCGGCGCTGCGCCGTCGTGGGTCCGAAACCATGGGAAAATTCACGACCACGCTGCTCTTACGCCTACTGCCACGCTGTTCTATACGACCTGCGATCCGCCGGCTCCCGTAAGCTGTACGCCAACTAGCCGCGAATCCCAGGGAAGGGAAAAATGTTGGAAACATGAAGAACGAGAAGGAAATGTTTGAAAGTGAAACCATCAGCGTGGCATAAACTTTAGAGACCGACACTACCACCGGAGTAAAAGACATGGTGCATGCAAACCGACAAATCTTAGCAAGTGCACGTCGCAAATTTGTTGGGAGGAGTGATAGCATGTCATATCATCACATCACTGTTAGCAACGTCGTAGCTCTCAATTGAGCCACGCCGAAGCAATTGAATCTCCACGACAATAAAATCATCTACCAACGCACAACTGTGGAAAATGCCTCGATTCATGTGCGTGAGTGCGTACCCATGCCTGTGTATTTAAGTTTAATTATTTATTCATACTCATAAGCATAACACATGTATAGCAGAAAAACTTTCGATAGCACTACGAGAACCAGGAGAAGACTACGAGATCGAACCACGAGCAGATCGCATATTCCTGTACTCTATATCCTCCGAGAAGGTTGTCAAACACGGTAACTCGCTACATTTAAGAAAACTCCCATTATTCTGACTTTAGCCAAGATAAACCGTAAATCTGTGGTAGGTTGCGACCCGAAACTGGGTCGCTGAGCCATTTTAAGTGGTCGACAAGGTCTTTCATGGTCTCACCGAGTTTTCGTCTGTATAGTACAACTGGGCGCCTGCACCAAGGGGACGCTGGGCTCACTCGCAATCTTCACAGCGAGGATTTTGGTCGTAGACAAAAACGTGAAAGGCTACTGCCACAAACAAACGTCACACATCGGCGATTTCGCAAGGCACTTGCGATGACTTCCGAGAATGAAATAAGACTAATATTGCGTAAATAAGATTATATGATTTGTTCAGTTATGTCTAATAATTATTTTTCGTGTGCGCAGCTCAACACCTAAATCAACGGTTTATCAACTTTATCACTATAATACCTTATTATACTTACTACCTTTATACTAATTCTATTACGACAATGGTAAGCATAAATGTATAGCAAGCAGCAGCATGCGTGGCAGTGTGGTGAGACTGAGCTAGAGCGGTTGAGCAGCATATAAGTAGCAGCACTATTAGTAGGCATACACGAACAAATAATGCAATTTCATTTGATACCAGTATTATTTTATTATCTTAAATGTGCTAAATGCGTGCGGGTAATTCTACATGCTGCATGAAATGACATGCCCTTGATGTGCCCACGAGTGCGATTAAGTATTCCTACCTGAAAGCTACCGAAGCAGCTTCCTCCGGGAAGTGTGACGTAGCAGATGTACGGAGGACTAGATGAGGGGACTGATTCGTAAACGACCAACGCCCCATTCTTCGTTTCCGGGCCCTTGGAGAGCTTCATCTGCCAGAACTCTTGCAGCGCTTCCACCACGTTTACTGAAATAGACAGACAAGCAAACAACAGTGAGTCAAACAACATACACGGGTGGTCGCTTACCCTAGTCGCTGTAAAGGGGCCAGGTAGACATATGATAACAGTGGCTACCGTTCGATAGCGATACACTTGTTCACGAGTATCATTCCATCATTCCATCGTTCAAGCAGAAATTCACAGCGAGAATGCGCAACGCTACGTTTTTTCACTATCTACGCGTGTGAACCATTCGACACACGCACAGAAAAGACACACGATTCGACACACACGTCATGAAAGAACAGGTTGTACACCAGGAACTGATATTTATGTTGACCTAAGCATTTCTGGTGCAAAACCATCTTGCAACACCGGCAATAAATCGTTTTCCATGAAGTCTGCTAACACGTGTTCGCTTTCACCTTTACTCTGCAAGCCTTACGATGTATCAGGAGAGTGCGTGTTGTGAATATTTTGCCTTACACGAACGCACACCGTCGATTTTCGGCGCGTCCGAGTTTTGACCCACTTTGTATTGTTATTACAACCTACATTACATGTGATTTAATGTGGCATCTTGCTCGTTCAACGCTTCACTATATCAAATTTGAATAGACATTAGGGTGTGTGACAGCAGAAGCGGGTTCGTTTGCTGCATAAACCACACAAGTGCCCTTGAGGAGTTTCTTGAAACCGAAAGTATACGCACGGTCGGCTACACCACGTACAAACAAACGTCTCAGTGTTACGATTCCGATTGTCAACCTTCACTGGGTCATCAGCATAAAGAATTGCGCCTTGAACAGAACGCATGACACTTCCTGAAAACGTGTACCAGCGGTAGCCGCTACGCTCTTAACACACACACGCAGTCACGCACACACGCACGCACGCGCACACACGCGCGCGCACGCAGCGACGCAATTTCCATGTCTTTGTTGCGTGGCGCATTGTTTTTTCAACTAAAATAATCCCGTGGGGTTTGCACAATTCACGGCAGCCAACGTCCTAACATAAACAAAGTTATCTAGTCAAAATATCTGAGGCAATGTACGTGTCGTATGCCATGTCTCTGTGTTTCAGAAGAATACCGGTGATTTATCGCTCGATAACGCCTGGTCGTTGTCACGCCCGCCCGTTGCGTAGTAATTAATTAGTTGCCAATTAAGAAACTGCGCAAACTTAACGACTCGGTCTAAGCGTAAACTACCCCTACGGAAAAAAGGATTGGCCACCCGCTGTGAACAGACAGGCATGTGTATTCGCGAGTCAAGACCTTATTATTTATTAATGCCGAAATTACAGGAAAAACTCCAGTTTTTGTCACATGAGCCAGGAGCACTTTCCCATGCCCTGAACGTGAAATCCCTTCGTTTAGCCTAACCCTTTCCCCTCAACAGTCACGTGACGAATACACCTTGCAGTTGTTTTTCTAAGGTGGGTAGGACTCCCGGGGGATGACCAACGTGACCCCGTATACCGTGACTACAGTCCAGCCTGTGTGCGGACCACGGCGTAACACTGAATGCCTGCGCGTCACAGCATTCTCTATATACCCTGCTGCCGCCTCGGCGCCAGGTTATTGACTCCCGCGTGACAGCTCCCGGCCCGCGCGATTATATTATTAAAAGATTATCGTATTTTCGCGCCGTATTATTTCGATGTTGTTCTATTTGATGAAGCAGCGTGCTGAGTCGAGGGAGTTACGCGGGCCAACCCCCCGCGAGCAGTGACGGTGGTTTGACGACGACGCGCAGCCGACCGAGACGCACATCGACGGCTGCGCACATCGAGCCGAGCATGAATAGACCCCCCCCCCCTTCCACACACACACACACACACACACACACACACACACACACACACACACACACACACACACACACACACACACACACACACACACACACACACACACACACACACACACACACACACACACACACACACACGCACACACAACACACACGCACATAGATATCACAGGAGCATATGCGGGAGTGAATAATAATATTAAATTTATTATTATTATTTATTATTGTCTATTATTATTCATCCTGAGCTTATCATACAGGGAACTGTGAATACAGATATTGCACGGCGACTCGTAACTGCTAACTATGTTACTATGAGAAACGTGAACGCACGCAGGGCACATGTAGTCACTCTGGTGGTAGGGAGCCTGGCGAAATATGCGTGTAGAAGCGAGAATGAAAGAAATGATATGATGATGATGTGATATGAATGAATTCAATATAGAATGCCTGATATAGAGTCTCCTGTAAATATAAGGCAACCAGGGAAGGCTTATATACTCAGAAGTAAATAATAGGGAGGTAAATAATACCGCCTCATTATTTATTCCTGGTGTATATGTACTTACAGATGAGCGTTATTATCCGGTGATCAAACGTAAATTCGTCATCAAGCATTGAAATAAATTGCGCTCCGAATAAATTGATGACGCCGCGTCTAGTATTTAAGGAATATACAGATTGCGCGGTGGGCCAAAAGATGAGGATAGAATTTCACAATTTCAAACATTTTTACATATCAGATTACGAGAAATTATGCTATGCAAACAATCATAAAAGTTTGTGAATAGCACATGACAGGAAACCGGGACCCCTCCTTCCGCATACATGCACACAGACGAGAGTATAACTGAGGTAAAAAACCAGCCCGCGGTGCTACCACAAAGAAGAGATATATTGTCACGGGTCTAACCAGTTTGACACGAGGTAGACACAGGTAAGATATAGAGCACACACACACGGACCGCTCCGACTAGCTTCACTAAATCACCGATTGTAGATCGAACGATGCTCTCAAAATCGCACATTGCCAAGTCCTTCGCGAGCCCAATCCTGCCAATTTGTAAATCAATTCGCGCGTGGCGTGTGACATTGAATATTGAATTAATTATTATTCATATTTCGTAACGACTCTCGTGTAATGTCAAATTGCATGGCAAATGTTCAGCTATGTCGATTTCACACTGGCAGCAACCTGATGCAAGGCCATCGTGCACATGCACCGAGAGCGTTTTTCCACGCGTGCATCAATTATATAAACACAACTTCGTAACAACCGAAACGGCGCCGGATTTATCAGCCATTATATCGCCGGAGCCAATGTAACGAATGCCAAGTAGCCTACCGTTATCGGACACGGGCGCTTTTGTTGCTTATATACAGACTTCAGCGCGACCGCTGCATGAAGGCGAGAACATGAAAAGAGAGAGAGGAGCAAATTATTATAAATAAATAAATAAATAAAAAAATATATATTATATATACATATATATATATATGAATAATATATATATATATATATATATATATATATATAGAAGAGAGAGAGAGACGAAGAGAGAGAGAGGAGAGAGAGAAGAGGCAGAGCAAGAGAAGAGAGAAGAGAGAGTGAGAGAGCAGATGAGAGAGAGAGAGAGAGCAGAGAGAGAGAGAGAGAGAGAGAGAGAGAGAAAGACGAAGAGAGAGAGAAGAGAGAGAGAGAGAGAGAGAGAGGAGAGAGAGAGAGAGAAGAGAGAGAGAGAGAGAGAGAACGAGAGAGAGAGAAGAGAGAGAGAGAGAGAGACGAGAGAGAGAGAGAG